CTCTAGAGCTTGACAGAAGTTGATTATATTGATATCACCACCCCATGTACCAGTAAGTTTATCATGCGCTGATTATATTGACCGTTGGAGAGTGAAGTTAGAGTTAAATCGACACGTGACGGACGGAAAGGGGACAGGAAAGAAAGCACATGCTGTCACTTTTGGAGAAAAGATAAGCATCCATCAGATGCAAATCATCAATAACCAGGAAGAGACAGACAAAAGCTTTGTTAACACAGGAAGGTACAGTACCTACATACACGTCAATAATCGAGTTAGCTGTCCACGTTTCACCCCATGCGCTTATGACGTATATACAGCTAAGCCGCCGCCCCTCTATCTTCATACACCTCAACAACAAGAACAGCCTAGCCTACCTTGGTACCTAAGCAATAAGCGGGCATTCTTGTACTCCGTAACACACACGGAAACTCGCTACCCCACTAGTACCTAAGCCTCTCAGGCTCACAGCTACATCATACCCAACTGCTCTTGAGCCCCCCAATCAGGCACAATCATTCATCAATCCCTAATCCCCTGCTGCCACCGCTACTGCTACTGCTATTGTTACCACCTAGGACCCTGCCCGTGGCTCCTCCAATAAATCCCCCCGCCATTCTCGCTCGATCTTGGTCCTTTTCAAAACGAACTCTTTGCTTGTCTAAATACTACCAAGAGAGCACTGTACACATCTTCCCTTCGACCCGATCCTCGCACCTTCTCTCGTAATCTCGACCTTAGCGTATCAGCAGTACTTCTTTCGCCATGAACCCTCATCAGAAGAACAAGGTCGACGTTAAGGTAAGCTGCCCGTGGAGACCAACCTCAGGCGATTCGAGCTCCCCTCTGTGCATGACTCGATGACCATGGTACCCGTCAATATTAATCCCTCCTCACAACATCTATACCGACGCGATCTTCAATCGTACCGAATACTCTGCTGACGTCAACCCCTCGTTATAGTCACTCACTCCTGAGGAGCAGCGACTTTTCCGCCTCTACGGCAAGCTACCCTCTCGATCCGACCACTTCGCCAAGCATCTCAAGGACCGTAAATACTTCGACTCGGGCGACTATGCCATGTCCAAGGCCGGCAAGGGCGACGGCGTGGATGCTGGTGCCGTCGGCTCTCAGCATCCAGTCCCTGAAAACATCCCCCACCTCTCTTCCCCGGTGAGCGGCTCCGGAGCCAACGTACCCAAGCACGCCCACCACGGCTCCGTGCCCGGCATCCAGGCCGGCAGCCCTATCAAGGAGAGCAGCTTCCTCAAGAGCGAGACCAGCGCTGATGAGACCGAGGGTAATGATGCCGACAAGTCCAAAGACGCAGACGCTGCTATACCTGAGCCCGTTGCCGCTGGCGGCGAGGGCATCCCAATCCGGCGATAGAGCATCGAGTGAAAATGGTCTAAAAAAAAAGTGCAACGGAGCAGAAACGAAGAGGGAGTTTTTTTATTTATACTTCTTCACCTTTGTCTCGCAAAACATGGAACGTTTGTTTCTTTGGTACTAAGCCTTGTGCGTGGGCTTGCGGTGGATTGCGAAATCGGTTTTGACGACTTACGAGGATCGCACAGTTGGCGTTTGGGAATTGGGAGACAATCTGGCTCGCACACACGGGGGACATATCTCGATCTGGAATCATCGGATAATGTTGTTTGACAGCGGCAGGGTGAGAGAAACACCACACGCTCCGCAAATGTTTATCATGTTCATTTGGTCGTTTAGCTACCTGCTTCGTTTCAGAAGCATGCTTTCTATTTCCATTCCCTTTTGCTTCTTCTTCTCTCCCTGTTGTCTTCGCGCGCAGTATTACCCGGAATTTTTGCATTGTCCCATGATATCGTAGAAATTCCCCATATAACCTAGATGGTTTCCAGGTGGTGATGCTGTCTTTAAGCATCCAGAGCCTTGAGCGCCATTTGCTTGGCACCCTCGAAAGTCTTGTTACCACCAATGAAGCCAGCTGCATGAACAAAGACGCAGCCAGGAATGCCACTGATGCCATCTAGCTCAGCATCGCGGAATCCTCTCCATGCCTCGGGCAAGGGCTTTCGACTGACGAAAGAGTCCTTGCTCTCAGGAACACATTGGATACGCCACTTGGCGCCAGGCTCAGGCTTCTCAGCGTATAGAACGTAGAGCACTGAAGGAGTACCGTCCTCGAGAGTATAAAGATGGTCCTTCCAGGGCACAGACTGGCCCTCGAGAACAAGCAGACGGCCCTGCTCGTCGTACTGTGTGCGCTTGGTGAAGGCTTCCTGGACGATGGTGCGGGCAGGGAGCCAAGAACCGGCGTAGCCGTCAAGGTCTCTGTCGAACTCCTCGCCAATGCGGTTGCTGGCCTCGTTGAATTTGGCATCCTCAGCTGCCTGAGCCTCGGCGGGATCAGATGGCGTAGGGTCGTTCCACTTGGGGTTCAGACGTCCGACCATAGCACCAAGGCCAAAGGCGCCCTCGCTAAAGCGTTTCTCGAGACCTGCAGCGGCGATACCAGCAGGGTCGAAAACAGAAATACCATTGTCGTGGGCGTCGAGGGCTTCGACGAAGTTCTCGTACAGTTTCTTGTAAATCAATTCAACGTCGGCAGAGTCCTCGGGTTGTCCAAGGCGCTCAGCAACGATGGCGCGGCCAAAGTGCAGGAAGACAAGACCGGCGCTGGAGAGCTTTGTAGGACGGTCGGGAAAGGTAGTTGTGAAGCCGCGCTGATGATGATCGAAACGACGCTTCTCAGGGTCGTACTCGCCGCCAACGTCGACAACAGTGTGGCAGGTAGCCAGGACGGCGGGGTCGCGGGTACGGACAAGAGAGGCATCACGGTAGGCGGGGAGGCGGCGGAGCATGTGGACGGCGAGGGCCTCGTCAGCGTGGAAGTGGCCATTGTGAGTGCCAATGAGAGGACCGTTGCCCGTGGTCTTGACGCGCTTGGATGCTGATTCGGCCATGGTGGTGAAGAGGCGGCGGAGCATGTACGTACGTCTTTGGTGATTTGTCGCTGTGGTTATGTATGAGGTTGTGGAGGACGCAGAAAAAGTTGTTGGAGTTATCAAGGTGCGGGGGACAAAAATAAGTGGCACAAATGATGAAACCAAAACGCAACGACTTGCAGTGGCGCCAACGCTATCCGTATTATTGGCAGTTTTCTTACGTGCCAAAATCTAGACAGTTTAATAGCATAAAATCGTCTACAGACAGTATCATTCAATATCTAACTTGACTGATACTTCTGCAAAGGTACTATATCATGAGTATTTCATATGTCGTGTGCTTTTTATAACCCCGCGCGCGTCAGCAAAGTACTTATATACCTATGGTCTCTATATAAGGTACCTACCTACCTATCTCATAAGCGAACCTAAGTGCATAAGTAGGTAGCCTAGGCTCTTGAATGCTACCTTAGCTACTTGAGCCTCTGGCGTATATAAGACTCTGTCTCAACTTAGTAGATGAACGAAACTTGGCAGGTAGCGTACTTATTATCTTTATTCCATTCTTTCATTCCGCCCAGCCTGCAACTTTAAAGTACAGTTTCTTACAACAAGCTTAAGCCAATCACAATTAATGAATTACCCAATTCTGACCCGCCCATGGAGGTCGGGTGCTTAAGGTACGACAGGATCTTGAAATAAAGTATTACTGTAAATGCAGCCTAGAAACTAGTAAGTACATTAGGTAAGATACAGAGTATACCACAGCGAGTTACTCATCCAAGAGTCCAGAGTAAAATACCCGAACCAAATACTCAGCCTACAGCTTCAACAAATCCGCCATCACGGTCACAGCAATCGTCTCATCCTCAATGCCGGCCCATACTCATCTTGATATGTTGGCACCCTGGACCCCGAGAATCCAATATCACAACCCAGATCAGTCTCGATTTATACTTTTACACCCTTATCATCTATGTATGATCCATACACCATCATCCGTAATGGACAATTTCATTATTCTCATGCATTAATCTCAGACACATCTGACCTACCAGAGACAAAAGAAAATACATGCAGTACACGGCCATAAAGCGTGGTCGAATCTCCACCTTTGTTAGCGGGCACTTCACAACACATGGTCCGAGCAGCCATGTGGCCGCGGATATACATACAAACAGCTGTTGTCAACATTCAGGCCCAGGCCAAAAGCCATAGTGCATGGAGGTTTCTTCAGCAGGATAACTAGAGGGTGGTGTGAACGTGCCAATAACGAGTGACTTGACGCCAATGATCTGAACCTGAGTATCAAGCTACGTTGTGTTACGTTATGTTATGTTACTCTAATCTATACGTACATAATCAATCAACCGATCAATCCCCTCGTTGTTCATATCATACGCCTCATTAACAGCGCTAAAAGAAACAAGGGATGGCTAGCCTGCCGCTCTGCTACTTTTAGAACAATCGATTTTGAAGAAAAGAAATAACAGACAAACCGAAATGAATCCACTGGTACGCCGTAGGTATCATGCAATGCAATGCACAAAAAACACAATTCGGCCAAAACGCTCGTTCCGCTATCGTTCCACTGCTGCCCCAATGCACCTGGTGACTTTGCTTTGGCCAGTCATGACTCGTTTCTAACAGCTTTGACTCATGCATTGCGGCCCGGACAAGTCTTCAGACCGTGTTGCCAGCATTGCCATGGGAGGCAATCAAGTGTTGGGTTGCATCCGTGTGAGGGGCGTCCACGCGGCTCCGACAACTGGGTCAACTGGTAAAGAGGTCCGGCCGGATATATTGAGCGCATGTAAACATGTCGCTGCTTCGACTGGCCCAACGTCGATAATGAGGTTTTAAAAAAGGTACAATCCAGGAGAAAGGAGGCAATGCAGTCCTGATCGACAGCACTGATGCATCTCCACCGGATTGATGACATATGAAGAAGACATGATGCTGAGGCTGAGGTATCGCCCGGGGGAATATCTGACCCCCATTTTATAGTCGTGTACATCTTGATAAATGTCGGATATCTCCGTATAACAAGTTCCGAGCCGATATTATGCTGAATTAGAGAATGAGCTGCTTGAGGTTGCGCTGGATGATCATGTCCTGGACTGAGGCCATGGTGATTTTGAGCAGGTTCGTATCGGTAGCATTGGTGAAATGGCCATAAATCTCCTTCTCGGTGTTTCGGTTCAGAGCCTTAAACTTATCCAAGAAGTACTTGCTCGCCGCCTTATAGTCGTCCTTAGGTCCATGGTAATCGGTGAACCCGTGGTTCGTAATAGGGCTCTTGGGGAGTTTCTCCTTGAACAAATCCATCTTATTCAGGAAGAGGATCAGCGCTGATCTGGCAAACCAGTGGGAGTTGGCAATCGACTCCCAAAGCATGAGCGCCTCATTCATTTGGTTCTGTGCCGCTGTTAGCAGGGTATTCGTAGCTTCCTGTCTGATATCATTTGTTACCGACCCCATCCTTGTCCTCAACCAAACACTGATCATAACCACTAATTGCGACCAAGAACAATAGGCAGTTGACATTCTCGAAGCAGTGAATCCACTTCTTTCGTTCTGAACGCTGGCCACCAACATCAAACATTCGGTAGGTTAGTTGGCCGAGGTCGAAGATGGTCTCTGTGATACCAGTAGTCCGTAATCGCGATCGGAGAAGATCCTGATCATCAGGTACATAGTCCTCTCCCCAGAGTCTGTCGATGTCCTCGATGAAACTTTGGGACATGTTAGCGCCAAGGATTTCATGTCATGCCATTATACAACACGTACTAAGTCAAGTTGTCGTGCAGCGCATATTCGTTGCCCATCCCAATGGCTGCTCGAACACCATTGTCTACCCACAGGGCTTTGATGGGCTCGAGATAGTCGGCAGGCATTGGGTCGTGAGGGCTAATTTCGTGGTCGACGAGGATGTGGGCCATATGTTTCTGTAGCATCTGTTAGTAGTTGGGCATGTCTCACTATACCGGCTCACTCCAAATTCTCGTCGGAATAGTGGCTTCGGCAGTCTTAGTGGGGAGAAGAGCTTGACTTACCTCGTTGTCGGGGTTGTCGAATTGGAGATCGTGCTCATTCATTGCCTCGGCAATAACTTTGAAAGACTGAACAATGTTGCTAAAGATGACGGGCTTCCACTCCAGCTTCTCGTTTTTGCTGAAGCCTTGAGAATAAATGAGCTTCATCTGCTTGAGGACAGTTGACTTTCCAGATTCTCCAGCACCTGTTGAACGCGCATGGCGTGTCAGCCTTATTTGTGCGAAAGCGCGGCCAGATCATTCCTACCTAGCAAGAGGAGTTTGACCTCCTTGGATAGCCTCTTCTCATCCTGGCGAAGCTGCTTGTCGATATCACGAGATCGCGCAAGACCGCGATCACCCTTATCCCGACTTCCAAAGCACATTATGGGGGTTTGAGGTGGAATTGTGGCGTAAGGTGAGGTTGATTGGGAGTAGGTAGATATGCGAGACAGTCGAAAATGGATGCCGTCTCGCGTAGGAGTCGGAAACTCGGTTCGGCTGTCGCAAGCGAGTAGAGTGAGACAGACCAAACAGAAGCCGAAGTAAGAGATTTGAGGATCGATCAAGGTCAATGCTGTTACAAGAGCATGAGGCGAGCCGGCAGACGAAGTCGCGAAAACGTCCGGAAACTCGGGGTTTCAGCTACGTATTCGATAGAAGAATCGGTCTGGGTGGTGCTAGTGAATAAGTCTCGACGGAACCAGTGTAAGTGCCAAAACCAAGCGTCTCGATAGCAAAGCGATCCGTTTCCCGTTGCCTCAGGAGAGGTGCCTTGATTTAAGTTGCGTATGTTGGATGAGGAGGGGGGATAGAGTCGATCGAGCTGGATAGGCGAAGGGACTGTAGATAGAACGGACCAACCAAGCAAGGCCAGAGAGTATTTCTGAGACAAGGAAGAAGAAGAAGAAGTAGAAGAAGAGAAGAGATGGGTCATCTAACGTTGGTTATTAATTAACAACAACATCCATGACAGGGCGCGACATGGGCGGGCATGGGCATGGGCATGGGCATGGGCGAAAGAAGAAAAAAAGAGGCTAACTTAAATGGAACCTGAGGTCGCTGTACGATTTATGGCGGGATGAGCCTTTGGGGACCAGGCCAAGGGGCGCCCGCTGTTAGTTCCTCGTCGCAAAGTGCAGGGTCTCGATACCCAACTTTTCGTTCTGTGGTAGCGAGCTGTACTTGGGCTTACAGCCAGGTCAGCTCCATGTTTTAGTGGCCGGGAGCCTACCTAAGCCCAGCACCCGACCTGGACTGAAAGTCTGAAATGGTGCATCTGGCGTGAGAGTGGATTGCTGGGCGGCGGAGAGAAGCTGCTGCACCTATAGAATCCGTGCTTTTGAACGCTGCCGTTCCCGGCGACACTAAGGTACTGTACGGATAGCTTCTGGTTCACTCAAGGTACTCCGTATTCAATAGGTAGTTATTCAAGAGAGAAGCCAAACAGTTGCAGAAATATAGGTAGGTACCAAGATGGTACGTCGCAGGTAGTAGCAGGTCCTGGCCTTGTCGTTCCCAGGTTTATCCCCGTTCCCGGCACCCGACTAGGTCGCCCAAAAAGCCCCTTGAAACACCACATCCTCTTTGGTGGTTGAGATGTTGAAAAGCTGATTGTGAAATGTTGGTGTGATCCTCTTTTCCTTTTCTTTTTCTTTCTTTTGCCTCAACCTCCAGCTGCAATATGACTCTGGGAGACATCCCGCAGGCTAGAAACCTCCACTTGACCACGGCAGATAAGTACTTACTGAGGCCCCTGCTGTACTCTATGTACCTGTGCACCTCTCCAGTGCAATAGAGGTACTGTGAACAATCCAATTCGGTTGAACCCCCCCGCGAATCAGAAGCAACAGATGATGCGTCGCTTGTTGATTCTCAATAACTAGGTACCTAATGAACCCCATCTACCACGAGGTGTGGGTGGGTGGGTGCCGTGACATGCAATGCCATGCAGTACCATGCAGTGGACACATGCCGGTGCCGCCGCTTCAAGGTCAAAGCTGAACATGAAGCTCACGATTACCATAAGAATTGCTTCATGGTCTGGTCTGTGTCTTGACTACTGTGGATATATATGCACATGGCAGGAGGCCGTGCTTAAACTTGCCATGTGGTTCTTGTTTAAAGTCAGCCTGTTCTAGACACTCTTGATACATAGCTCGGCGACTGATGGCCGCCACTGACACTGACTCAAGCCCTAAAAACGCCCATCAGCCATGATCGGCATGACTCTCTCTCGATGAATCAACCGTTCCCTGACCTGCCCGGCCCAGCAACTTGCTTCCAAAGACGACAAAGCTAGGTAGGTTACCGATGATGAACGATTCAACCCCTTCCATGGCCCCTGGCGTACCTGACTCTCATCCAAGTCTCTCATGCGGGAGAGAAAAAACCGGCTTCAGAGCCGTACCAAGAACACATACCGTCCCTCCCGCCTGAAAATTTCCGGTTTGTTCTTCGAAACATCGGCACTAACTTGTCTTGGATAGTTCTCTGGTGGTTGCGGCAATGGTGGACCCATGGATGTCTATGTATATACTCCGTACAGGCCGTCGCCATGTCCACTGCTAGGCTCGATCCGTCACCAGTGCTGAAGAATTTTGACCCTGATAGGCGCTCCTGCATCAGGGAGAAACATCCGGAGACACTAATTATCACCATCTGCCCATTGTGGTTTGAGCTTGAGCTCGATTATGAGCTTCGATTGAGAAGAGAGACAACTTGGGCTCTGATGGAGCACACTTTCTCAGCTCACCACTAAACCCTCTTCTCATTGGCTTCCACGGCAAAGAATAGGTATACAACCCTGACCCTTGCTCGGCTTGCAGGAGTTCGAGTTCCTGTTGCGAGAAGCCAGGTTCAGTTCCTTTCGCTAGCTGCGCCTCCACTCATCTCCGTCGACGGTTGCAGGGACTATGTACATATGTACTATGTATTCGCTTTTCCCGTTCCCCATCAAATAATAGGGGAATTCTTCTTCTTCTGCCCATGCGACGCCAAAACATATGATATGATGCACATATCACTTTACTAGTAGCGGTTCGTCTTGTAGGGTAAATAAAACCGATAGCCAAGGTAGCTGGTCTATTTCAGCCTCCGTATTGTCCTCGCAAGCCTCAACGGAAAGAGCAAAACTAAACTCTGGGCACATAGAATAAGCAATGTGTCTGCATACTGTACTGTAGTTTGTGACTAGTCAACCCTCTCGAGAACCTACGTCCTCAATATTGAGCCCAACCAAGGAGGCCATAACGGCATATCACCTCAACCAAATCCAACCGCTAGAGAATATATGTAGGTTGATAGACGATCAGGTGCAACCAACAGCATCAAATATCAGCACTAGAACATGAATTTGGAAACGGCATCTAAAGAGGAATAGATGCTCTCATACTGAATCCACTGCCGTGTGTTTGAGTGAAACTCCCTTGACCTCAGGCAATCTAAAAGGACGACTCTGGCTTGGCCTTGCAAAAGCTCTGACCATGTTGCATTGGAGTATCCCATTCCCGACGAAGATCAGCGTCGTCTGATTGCGTTTCATTGATCGATACTGAAGGATGGCAGGAAAACAGGGGCAATGCAGCCGCTCTGGTCTGGCTCTTTTGACATGTCCCGTTTGAGCAATCAGTCAGGAGAAGGGCTAACTAGAGGGATAACAACAAGGATCGTTCTCGGATATGGAGCTTCCGAGAGGTCGACATAACGGCGGCATTGGCCTCGTTCTTTCAACATAATACAATACCAGACACCAAATAGATACCGGCAATTATTTATTCATTAATTCTCAAGAACACTTCAACGCTGTGCCAGTGGCCCATCTTTGATCTTCATAACTCTACTGTTGATATACTCAAGCGAGATCTCACATGAATAAATGAAAGCTTAATACTCCCACTATCTCGATTATCTACATGCACCGTTGAATAGAAGCATGACCGAGCTAGTTAGATCGCGTCTAGTTACCCTGCATAACCTTATTTGTGCCGTAATATCATCACATTTAAAGTTTGTGTATCACTAGAGTGACATCTTCTCCCGCTGCACTCAGCACGACGTTGACGCTCTGTGATGACAATGCCATGGATGCCTGATGGGTTAGACTACAGTCTGTAGTCTACAGGAACCTTGAACAACCGTTGGAAAATCATACACAAACTGTAAATATAGGCATGACATATACCACGGTGTCGCAAACCAATGACCTTATCGGTCAGTTCACGGTGGGAACCGGTCTGTAGCTTTTGCTGTCCTGCGAGTATTGATCATTAATAGGCTGGTATAGTTCCTGTAGTGCGTTTCAAGAAATATCCCAAGTCATCTGATTCGTGACAGTCTCACGATCTTGTCGAGTCTGTAGCCACATCCAGTCGAGACTTTTCCGTCGACGTGATCAAACTTTCCCGGACACAAGCCATTAGCCAACTCATGACAGCTTTACACCCCCACCTACCGCAGTTATGAACTCACAAAATCGTGTTGAATTCCCGACATCGACTCTCCCAGAGACCGCCTGAAACCGGCCGAAGCTGTGTCAGTGCTACCGAGTTAGGCCTAACATATACGCCGTGCAATAGATGACTATGATCGAGGTATATAAGCACTCTATTAGGCTCGTTTGGTAGCTGTGGCCCTCGGAGTCACAATGAGGCCTTAGACAACGATATTGCTGTCGTACTTGCCATGAATTGCTCAAGTCGAATGCCACTGACACGGATCTCCAAGGTGCTGAGTGCTCTTGGCCACCCATGATAGTCGATTGGTGCATACCAACTGAGGCCTTGTTGAGCGGAACCTCCAGGAACCTCCTGTGCTGGCCATCGCCTTGACCGCTCTGGCATGTGCATCAAACTCATCTCCACCAAAAAGCGGACGGTTGTTATGTATAGCCAGAACCTTAGACTCATTCTTTACCTTCAAAAGGGACCAGAACCAAGTCCAATTCTAGGCGGCCAGGAGCATGACAGGTTCAACAAAACACTAATCTCAGGGATCACTTGCGCAAATGTATGCCTTTCTGGGATTACTCTGCAGCTACCACAGTTGTAGCGCAGGTGAAAGTGAAACAGAAATTGTGTTATTAACATCATGGCTTGTGGTTGAGAGGCCAGCAGGCGAAACGTCTCATCATAGTTCATGTATTAAAATGGCTGACACAGCTTGAGTATGCCCACTGCAGCAATTCAAACATTTTGAAGTTTACCCAAGTATCAAATATATTCAACATCTTACGTGCACTACCGCTGACCGGAGCTTCTAAACTGTCTTTTGTCGGACTCTGACCGTAGTATGGCATTTATCAGTCATCGAGGAGTGCAACATATCCACATCCTCAACGAATGTGACACTTTTCACACACTAGCATCGACCGTTCTCGGTACCTTGCGGAGGCTGATTTAATACTTGATTTCATATACCTCATAACCATAAAAGGAGCATTTTGACATATCTAAGCTGGGGATCTAGCAGAAGCGGTATCTAGGTATCAAAGCCCATAAACATCCCATCCCACATAATAGTGGTGTATGTTCTAGGCCGCCAGTTCGGTTCTTCACGAACAAGACACGAAGAAGAAAAGAATCTATCCCAAGAGAACCCCCCCAATCTAACGCCGTTTCCCATCTAACAAATGCCGAACAATCCGGTCCTCCCAGCTAGGACCCTTGGGCACTTACTGCTGGACAAGCATGCACCCACGTACGTAGTGATGATTTTGGATCCACCACCTAGGTTTACTACGTCAAACTCCGGTTCAACTTGCAGAAATCAAAGATATAATGTAGGTGTGGCACTTGCATCAGTTGCTCGTAGTGCAACACACAATCAACTGACGAACACCCCCATCTAGTACCACGTGTTCTTCGGATCTAGGTTGTAGAGAATTCTACAATTCTGATTTTGACACATTTTTGTACGATTGAGAGTTTTGAATCTAGGTCCATCTGGGCCAGTGACGTAGTGATACTGACCGAAGAAACGCCACTGACGGGGGTCGGCGAGAGAGTAGACTTCGTCACCCCAATGCCCTTGATAATGGAACCAAGATGTCGGTGCGTGAGGGTTTGATGCCGCGGGGACAAGACTCAGCGGTTCGTGTTGTTCGTCCGATTCATGATTGTCCTCTTTCGTGTAGTCGTAATGGTATGCGTAGTTGTTAAGAGAGGGGTCCCAGAGAGGTCCCTTATCCGTGACATCCTTGAGAAGCTTGAATGGCAGGATGTAAGCATGGTTTCCTGGTAGCGCGTACATTGCGTGGGAGCCCACAGCTGAATAGATGACGGGTCTGCCACCGCGCTTTTCGACAGCTTCGAATGCGTACGCCTGCCCACCCTCATGCTCTGAGAAAAAGACACCACGGGGAATGCCGTGCTCGAAGCGCATCATGCAGTGCTCCCAGTCACCCACATGGTTACCGAACCGAATGTTCAGGACAGTTTGGCCGAGGTTGTAGGAGTAGAAGAAGAACCAGAAGGCGTCAACAATGCCCGACCCCTTGTCAACCACAACAAGCACTGCAGGAGCTGCTGAGTAGCCGTTGGCATCCGGTTTGTGACTGTTGGGCTCCGAACGACGACGGTTCTGAAATTTTCGATTTCTAGGGTCAGAAATCTTGTGGACAGGCCGTGTTTTGTCGACATCATACCAAGTGCTGGGCTCCCGGGCCTCGGGTTCGCCTCCGGTATTTCCTACCGGTATATCGCCGTTCTGGCCATCGTCTTTGTCGCCAGGAAACGGCTTGGGAACATTGTAATGGCTGTGCAGCCAACTGGGACGAGACTCAACATCGTCATCACTTCGGAGAGTGATCTTGCCAGAATACTTATTCAGCTCGTGCAAGTTGTGAAGCGTCCACTTCTTAGTCGAGTTAATAGGCTCATCATCGGCGTAGGCAGTCATATGTTCTACGTGCTGACGTATGTCCGAGGGCCAAAACTCTTCCCCAGAGTATAGGTGAACTAAAGGCGCATGCTTTGTAACATAGTCGGGGATATCGCGGAGGACCCTGCGTCGTTGATTGATATCTCTCTTGCGATCCGGACGGGGAATCTCATCAGGCTCCCAAGCAAGAGAGCGACGCTTGAGCTCTCCCCATTCTGGCTCTTCGCCGTCATCATTCCCACGAGAGGCAGGATCACTGCGCAAGTGATGTAGTCCGCACAGACTAATCCAGCGACAGGCCTGACGATCCAGAAAGTACGGGCTGCTGTTTACCCATCGTCGATCTCTGGCGCGCCGCTCAGGGCCTTTCGTCGTTGGGTCTAGTATACGGGGAAGCAGCCATGCGCCAAAGGAGATAAGCAGCATGAAAGAGAGTAATATGGTGAAGCGGCGTAACCAAATCATGGCTGTGGCGATAAAGGACTGCAAGAGCTCATGAAAATGGGCGTAGCTTGCGCAGCAATTGAAGTTGAAGAGAGTCGATTTCGAAGACCGACGACAAGCCGGGGGAGTATCGAGGTAGGGCCAGGAAGACGAATGGGACTGGATAGGCCGGCTATATGAGCATCACGAACGAACGAGAGAAGTACGACACCGCTCGCGGCATGTCGTTGAGAAGAGGAGTTAGGCCAGGCTAGGGTAAAGGGTGGACAGAGAGTAGAAGAGAAGGAAACGAAGTCAAAGCCTCCCGCTAAGTCGACAGAAGAAAAGAAGCGCGCACCATAGGTAGTCTAGAACGGGATACTTTTTGGTCGCTGCATAGTTGACGGCAGGGCAAGGGTGTCGATTGGCGGCGGAGTGCTGTGAGACGTAACCGGTGGAGGGTGGTGGGGATGCAGGTACAGATACATTGCACTCTAGGAGATGGAGCTGCAGTAGGTAAACGGTATGCATTTGCAGGCTTGTAAGAGTGTGCTTGATAACGTTCTTCTTCTGGCGCATCTGGCGATAGATGGCTAGTCAAGGTATGGTTTGGGTTTTGGGGATGAGTACGAATACGTCAAGTCAGTCTGGGGTAGATGGAAAGCGGATATGTCCATTTACGGATATTCTAGGTATGCCAAGATCTCTTGCTCAGCCTCAAGTGGAAGTGGAAGTGTCTGGCTACGAACTTAGGTAGGTGCAGAACTGCCGACACCTCACATACCAGTAGGTAGGTACCTAGTGAGAAGTATACCATAGATTTAGATTTTGTTCGTAAAGTCTCTTCACCAACGTTTCACTCCTGCGTTACATTCTTTACATATGTCTAGGTAGCAAGGCTCGGGTACTTTATTAGGTACTGACCTGATCCGCTGCGGCAAATAAGAAACGACATCACAGCCCTGCCCGTACTGTTCCTTGATCTTGATCGTGTTTTGGCGCAAGGACGCCTCGTTTTGCGCAACATGAACAGGACCACTCTGTAGCAGGATTCCCCTCTTGCTTGCCTCCAAGATTCATTTGCAACCCCGGTTTGCAGTTCTGGAATTGGCCGGTTGGCTCAAAGATCGTGTAATGGATACGCTCAAACCCGCCCTATTATCCATTCAGCATAAAGTATCTACCACTTACGGAGTACTGAACGCCAAAAAAAAAAAAAAAACCAGTAATTCAGCCAGAGTGACCAGGGTACGCTGGGTGTGCTTACAGTACTTACCTACAGTCCCGAGTACGACACACTCAGCTGTCGTTACCATGATCCATATAAGAAAGACAACTGGATCTTGTTCACCGTCAGAATAAACATTCCCAACGGATGTGCATCTGCGGCAAAGAATATATAAACGTGCGAGAGATGTGGGGGAACTGGTGCTGGGTGACACGATCAATCTTGTGTCTACGAGTCACAGTACTGCAATGTAGTAGGTGAATGACTTGTGTGTCGGTTTTGGAGTAACAGATGCGAAAATTAACGGTACTAAAGGTAGACTCATGATCTCACCAATTCACAAGGTCGCAGCACGAGTGTTGCGTTATCGATCATGACAGTTTCATATGCACTCATAGCCTCGATCGTACAAAGGAGACTCCGAACCTCCAAATGCTTTCGTGCATAACGCAGCTGGAAGTATCATGTACGCGGACTTTCCGATGTTAAGTTCTCACCCGAGATACATCGCGGTATCGTTGAATGACTGGATCGAGAGATCCCGTTCAACGAAAGATCTCTAGTCACCCAACATCACCAAAGCTATCACTGCCACATGATTACAGGAACGTTATACGATGGGCCACCGTATTCGGAGTATCCGCCATTTGCATAGGCTGACTCCAAGACCCATGAACCAATGACAGCTTGGTCGCAACCCTCGTACAGTCTTCAAGTGTACGTACCACATGTTAGCCTTGTAGCTTCGCTATGAACATGCTCACAACCTGCTTGATACGTAGTACAGAAGAAGCCTTGTTATTATTCGTTGGCGACAATTCACCATGGGTATCATAATCTCATGCGCTAAATATCAACTAGATGCTTCTGGCGTTCAACTACTGCAGTAATTCAATCTGCCATTGTCATGTCCTCCTCATCACCATCCTCTTCTTCATCATCCGTATCATCCTCATGGTCAGAATGATCCATGTAATCATCAGCTCTTCCATGCAGTTCAGTCCATCTGCTTGGAGTAGGAGTTGACATATTCCCTTCGTGCACGGTACTTTCCAGATCTCTAGTTGCCGATGGAGCAGGAGCCGTTGAGCCTCGTCCACGAACAACCCCGGGTCGAAGTCGGGGACGACCGCCCCTACGCCCACTTGCACGTCGTCTCTCGCGTTTTGGAATGACTTCCTCTCCATCCTCATTGAGTAATCTTCTTCTTCGCCTAGGTTTGTAGTCAGGGTCTCGGTTGTCTTTGAAGTCCTGTCCCTCGCCGTCTTTAGCCCATACGGTGACCTGATCCTTCTCCTTGTTCCTCTTCTTGATCGCCATCAAGTTTTCTAGGAACCGTGTCTGTTCAGCTCTTTCTCCTGACCTGTCTTTTCCAACAGGAATTCGGATGTTCCATTCCTCCCTGATAGCGGCTAATGGATCCTCTCTGATAATTTTTGGCTTGACAATAGCCTCTTTGGTGGCGATTCTCGCCGCACATGCGCCGAGAAAATCAACATTTCCGTCTAGATGGCGCAGAGCGGGGAGGGGACGATCGCTGTCGCGTGTCGCAAAGATAGCTTCGGTGCCAATGACTTCCGCCCACGACCCCTCGAATGTGCGTCCTTTGTATGAGATGACCGGCCTTTCTGAATGTAGCTCAAGAATCTGGATATTTTCATTCTCACCACGTGTCTTATCCACATCGTCTCTTGTGTCGTCCTCTGGCTCGCCTCTGTCGACAGCTTTGCCTTTATCTTTGTCATTGCTTAGCGCCGGATCGATTTCAGGTTCGTCGTCATCAGCCTCTCGTTCTGGGAGTGGCTCATTGTCATTATCGTCATCATTATCATCCCCAGCATGAACACCTCTCAAACTCGGATTGTGATCGAGCCAGGTTTTGTAATACCCGCCGCGGCTGTGGTGAGGCGCTCTTGGCTGTCGGTCCTTAAATTCTGGAAATGAAAGATCGACAGTCAAATAGTATGTCTTGATAAGAAGTCAGCTGGCTGCGCATGGTAGGCATCCGGAGACCAAGGTGTAACAGTACCTCTGTTTCGGTAGTTGAGTATTCGTACTCCCATTCTTCTTGTTCGTCCTTTTCAAGCTGTTCCTCAATGTTGACAATCGCTGCCTTATCTGCCAGTCTTGCCTCGTCCAACGAAGCCATTGTGTGCTCAGAGATTTGGCAAGCCACTAGATGCTCAAGAAAGAGAAAGAGAACAGATAGAATGCTGTACTCATAACTTGGTCGTGCCCATAGAGAAAAAAGAATGAGAAATGAAACATAGGCAGGCAGGTAGGCCTGAGGGTTTAAGTTCAAAAAGCCAAATACCTATGGTACCTAGTTGGTACTAAACTTTGTTGATAAACTTTGTTGATAAACTTGACGAACTGCAAATATGGATGCAGTCGCGAAACCTTAGCTTCCATGTGGTACAGGTACTTGCCAATTGGGGATGTCCAGGGTCTTGAAGTCGGTCAAAGGCGGCACTTTCTCAAAAGTCCAGAATTACAGGGATCAGGCGGGGCAGTTTCTGTGACTCGCGATTGCCCCGCTGTCGCTGTTACAACATTTCAATGAGTCTCATGGGATTTGAACAGTCACACTTATCTTGACGACTTCAAACACCTCTGGACTCGATATAGAGTTAGCTATCGCTACAATTATCCGGTCGTACATCATATGATATCAGTCCCGATTCATCTCTTCCAAGCAATACATTTGGTCTTTATACATTCTATCTTTTTCATATATTTACTATCATATCCAGGGTACAATGCCCACCGTTCACCTGCTGGACTATGTCGCCGGCAACATCAGGAGCCTGGTAAATGCCATTGAGAAGTCTGGCTACGAAGTAGAATGGGTCAGATCACCGGAAGACGTTCCAAAGGCAGAGGTTTGTTGATACTTCCTTCAATGTTTTGTCCACCATGACTGATGCGCCTTTAGAAACTCATCCTCCCCGGTGTCGGCCACTTTGGTCATTGTCTGTCCCAACTGTCCCAAGCTGGCTATCTTGAGCCAGTTCGAAAGCACATTGCTGATGGAAAGCCGTTCTTCGCGGTATGTGTCGGCTTACAAGCCCTATTTGAGGGTTCTGTAGAGGACCCCGATGTCCCCGGCCTCGGAGTCGTTCCAGCTTCCTTGGATCGTTTTGAAGACTCAAGTAAATCCGTCCCCCACATCGGGTGGAACAATGCTTTCACAGCTGGACGAGCCATGTACGATCTTCAACCAGACTCCAAGTACTACTATGTTCACTCTTACAAATGCCCCTACAAGCCGGGCGAGCTTGAGTCCCAAGGGTGGACTGTCGCTACTGGAACCTATGGTACCGAGACTTTTGTAGGCGCCATTGCGAAAGGAAACATTTTTGCAACCCAGTTTCACCCTGAAAAGTCTGGCACTGCAGGTTTAAAAACGATCCGGGCTTTCCTCACAGGTGAAGGTGCAAAGAATCTTGGTACCGTGGTTGACGAGGCCGTTGCCAATGGCCCGATCAGATTCGAGGACAGCTTAACACGGCGAGTCATTGCCTGTCTGGATGTGAGGACAAATGATCAAGGTGACTTGGTCGTTACAAAGGGTGATCAGTACGACGTTCGCGAGAAGGGTGATGACCGTAACGTGCGAAACCTCGGAAAGCCTGTCGAGATGGCTAAGAAATACTACGAATCCGGTGCCGACGAGGTGACTTTCCTCAACATCACTTCTTTCCGAGACTGCCCTGTTGCCGATCTGCCTATGCTCGAGATTCTTCGTCAAACGTCTCGCACCGTCTTTGTGCCC